GACTTGAGTTCAGAGGGCTTATAACGCATGTCCTGAATGCTTGCAGTTTGCAGAAGAGACTAGTAGGGTTTATTGCTATGGAGGACAAGATCTGACAGAAGTATAAATAAATAAATTAATGTATAAATGAATACTGGAATAAATAAATAAAAGACTGAATAAATAAATAAATAATTAAATGCGTGAATAAAAAAATTAAAACTGGTAAATAAATGGGACATAAATAATAAATGTTAAATTAATTAATGTAGAAATAAATAAATGTGGAAATAAATAAATGTAGAAATAAATTAATGTAGAAATAAATTAATGTGGAAATAAATAAATGTAGAAATAAATAAATGTGGAAATAAATACATGTAGAAATAAATAAATGTGGAAATAAATAAATGTAGAAATAAATAAATGTGGAAATAAATAAATGTAGAAATAAATTTAAGACATTTAATTATTTAGGTCCCATTTATTTACCAGTTTTTATTTATCTATTCACGCATTTATTTATTGATTCTTTTATTTATTTATTCCAGTATTTATTTATACATTTATTTATTTATACTTCTGTCAGATCTCGTCCTCCATATTTTTCCAGGAACTGTTTTGTGGATGCTTTTTTTTGCAATGCAGTGATGGCATGCCAGTGACCCCATACTCTGCGTCATCAAACTTTTGCTGTGGCAGAATATGGTGTTCAGGAAATGCACCGCTTCAGTTCTAGCTGCAGAGGGCGGTCTTGCATTTCTGCACAAAGAAGGAAAGCACCTGCATGGATGTCCCCAGCTCAGACCTGTGGGGTGGTGCAGCTGGGACAGGTTATCTTAGGCCTGGCACACGCAAAAAAACAAAAAAAAACCTGAAGTGATTTTGAAAATGGGAGAGCGCCCACACATGATGACAAATCATGACAGATTTAAACAGTTCTGTTGTTATAGCGTGTTGAGAGTAACAAGATGACCAACTCAGCACACCACACACTAACCGATTCATTCACCAACAAACATGATGGGCAAGCTAAATGTGGCTATCTGTTAGCTGGTACATCCATTACAGTAAACACTTTGGTCCAACTCCTTTCTTGTCCAGTCCCCTCCTCCGGATCTGCGGCGAATTTTAAAGTAACTTTCGATCTTCTTCTTCTGCTCTCCGTCCACGCTTGCACACTCGAAGAAGACGAGGAATTCGTAGAGACCTCCATTTCGTAAACACTTGACTTTTGTTTTAAATAAACTGGGAGTGATTATGATAGGAGCCTACAAGCAGCGGCGGGGTGACAGCGCTCGAGCTGGACTACAAGTGAGACGTCACAATCTTTCCTTCCTTCCTTCCTTCCTTTTTTTCACCTTGTTTTTTTTTGTTTAAATTGTTTCATTGTTGAATGTAAATTACATTTTAAAAAGTTGACAATGTAAGAAAAAATCTTTTATTTCTAAGACTAGAACCACCCAGATGAACACTGGGACAAACTATCCCTCTTATGAGGTTGTCATTTTATTTGACGGTTAATAACTTGTTGTGAAAATAAGTTGTAAAAGTTAAGTGTTTCTTCAGGCCCCTTTCGCCTTTCTTTATTACAAACTCTTTATGGTGTCCTTATAATCCCCCTTTAAACAAGTTGGTCTCCTGTGAGATTCCTTGAATGGCCACCAGAGGGCGCGACGACTCAGGAGTTAGAGCTCGAGCCTTGGCATGGCGTTGTTTTCAGTGTGTTTCTTGTTGAATAGGTCATCTTTAACTATCATGGTTAGACAAATACATACGTTTACACTTCAATCAGCTTATTCGTTTAATTTTATTTACAGACAGTTGCAATTTTTCATTTTAAAAACAAACAACAAACAAACCTGTAAAGCTTACATTATGAGTAAATCATCTATTTAGCCTACATAAAACTGAAAAATGTAATCAAGACAAAAACAAAATATGCTGTACATGAAAATCTTAACCCAAATTTGACAGAACAAAACAAACATGTTTAAAAAAGGGCTTTTTCATGTCCCACTGAAAACATCTCCATGACCCACTTTTGGGTCCAGACCCACCAGTTGAGAATCACTTGCTTTAGATGATGTAACCACCACCAAATTTTAACAAAAAAAAAAGTCAAATATTTTGTCATTGTGAGAAGCAAACAGTATAGGCATGCTGAAAGAGTCACACTTTCACACAAGAAACCTTAACTACTTTAACAAGAAGCTTTCTTGATTCTGAATGAGCGGATAGATTGAAAAGTTGTATAGCTGTAGTGTAGCTAATAATAAGTAATAAGCCATATTAATTTCATAAATCCTTGTTATTTGTTATATAACCACTCTTTTAACTGCAACAACAGAGAGCGTTATAGTTGCTTAAGGAAAATCCAGCAGAAATATAAAGGGATTAGGTTGGGTGTTTACTTTAAAGCACAGATAAAATTAAACTCTCAGTATCAGCCTTTTTGACCCATTTTCCACTTTTGTTCATGGCTGCAGCATGGTAACATTCGCCACACTCTCCGTCTGAGTGAGCCCAATTCTTGTAGGTGACCAGATTGTCATTGAGCCAGAACCACAGATCCATAACACAGGTGTAGCGCAATCCCAGCCAAACATGGTTGGTTGAGGCATCTTTGACTCTGGCTTCAACCCATCTCTGCTGGTGAAGGTCGGTGATGGAGACCAAGTCACGATGGTTCTCTCTGCAGTAATTGACAGCTTCCTCCCACGTCATTACTTCGTTGATCAGGATCACTTTGTCTGTCGTGGAAAAAAAGAAATGACACAGCACAAACGCAAATGTTGAAAACGCTGTTTGCCATTGTTGAAAACCAACAGATATCCTCAGAATCTATCGTTATATGTTCAAAAGTTAGTGAACGGGACAGGAAAAATGTCACTTTAGATCACGCCTCTTTGAGCAAACGTTACAGAGCAATTTCGATCGGTGAGTTTTGACGCCCACCGACGGTCTCTGAGTGCAACTGCCCTGTCGTAAAACACTCATAGTGAAGTGACATAGCCAGCTTGGCACCGGACTTGCAGCTTACTGTATCCTGCAACGTGTAAAATCATGTCCAATATTTACTCTAGGCTAGCTTCTTGCTCAGAGGTACTCTATTTTTTTTCTCCTCTCAGCTTCATCCGCCGTCACCCTTTTCAATTTGTTAGCCTCGGCCATTGTTTCAAACAGAACAGAGACGGGCTAACTGGCAGTTTTTCTAAGTTAATGCTGGTGTGTGAACTAGTGTCGTAAAGCCCAATGCACACTTTTATGCCAAAGTGACACAGTGATGTAAACAGGAAATGGGGTCGCCCTGTGGACATGGGACTGACACCATTCTCCCTGTTGAAAGTTATTTTTCTATTAGACCGACTCTGAAACTTCTATTTCAAGTTGGAAAAATGACACATTGTTGCTTTAACGCAAAACAGTCGCTTAAAGCTCCCGTGAGGAATGTTTGGTTTACGTTAATTTTGGCGCCCCCTGTGGACAAACTCCTATTTGTTTGTTGAACTTGTGCTATTCATCTGTAAGCAGCATTCTCTGATTAAAACTCAGTCTTCCTTTTGATGTCTTTTAAAAGTCAAATGTATCTCTCAATGATGAATTTTTTGCCGTGTAAAAACTAAACATAGTCTGTTTTGGCACTTAACCCCACCGTGGCCACATGCATTGAAAATCACAATATGTAAATAACTAATCTTTTTTGCTTTCATGTGTACCATAGAGGCCTCAATATTCACTCCAGTTCATTTTAATAGCACTTTGTGATGTCTGCTCTTGAAAGGTGTTATAAATAAACTTCACTTAATTACTTACTTACTAAAAATCCTCACAGGAGCTCTGGGTTCATGTAGGTGTGACATGGAGTTTAAGGTATTCCCATGTTTTATGTTTTGGTCTAACTGATATTCGATTAACTATACTCAATAAATTAACTTGTTAATCTGATGACATTTAAGTCTACTTGCCTGATAACACACTTTGTTTGTAAATTCGTCTGACTCTCCTTAAATATTCAAAGACTGGTGTTCTTTTTATTGTATGTGATAGAATTGCTTCCAAGGTTTCTAATGGTTTTTATTGACTTCCCTCAGCAATTAAGTCAAATTCTCGTATTATAATATCTACATTATATTTCTAAAACATTCTCTGTCAAAGGTGCTCTACCTAATAAACCTCACCAAAACATATATAAACTAGAAATATAAATACTGCAGATTCTGGTGGATCTTTTGACTGATTCACTGCTTGGAGAAAACAATCGAGGCAGACCTTTGCTAAACGTACCATCATAGCAGACAAAGGGTTTTTTTTCATCACAGGCAGCAGAGTCCCATTTTCCTTCTCCCTTTAACACAGTTGCACATTCCTTTTTGACTCCATCCTTCAGCAAACCCAGATTCCAGTGTCGGAAAGATGAGTTGCTCCCATCCGACCAATTCCAGGTGTCTCTGAACAGGCCGATCCAACTTTTAGGACTGCAATGGCTTTTAGAGTAGTTAGCTAAATGAGCTAGTTGATCTAGTCCACTGACCAGGTCTGTGTATTTGTCTCTGCAGTAATTCTGAGCCTGTGTCCAGTTCATCGACTCTTTGATGCAATTGAAGCTTTTTGGGGGTTCCTCCGTTCCTGTAGATGTTCATAGGAAACATATATTTTACCACATTTCCTAACTTAACACACAAACCATAATTTCAGATACATGAGTATTACTTGACTCTGGGTTCAGATGTTGTCTTAATTAAAGTATAGTGTAAAATAATGTATGTATAACTTTCTTACCATTGAAGCATATAAATTTATTTTTTTTATCACAGGTGGCATCGTTTAATCTTTTATTATGAATCTGCACACAGTTTTCAGGTTTATTATTGTGATCATTTGGCTCTTTATTATGAAAGTAAGTCTTAAGATCGCTTAACGCCACCCCTTGCGTCCCTGGCAAAGACCAGTGCCACCTCCTGTTGGCTTGTCCTGGGTTACTCTGAAGCCCGATCCACGCTTCCTGTGTATTCACAATCTCACGGAGTCTCTTCATGTCTGTCATGTCAGACACTGTAGCCAGGTCTGTGTAATTCTCTTTGCAATATCTCTGAGCTTCATCCCAGGTCTTTGCCTCTTCAATGAGGTGGTACTCAATGTGGTGACAAGTGACGAGGAAACACTGACCTGAAACAAGAAAAGTAACACTCAGCATGTCATATTGTGACAACTTGGGGCCACTTAGCAGAGTGTGGATGCCAGCTGTGTTATGAGTCCAGATCAAGAAAGAATGTTACTCATTAATACGGCAGAAATCAAGTATGTAAATGTATCTGTGAGTCTGGAGTGAGTATCGCCGGCTGCCGTGTTTATATCATGTTTACATGGAGCGGACGGTCAACTCCTCCCCTTGTGTATAAAAGCTGTTTAAGTCAAGGACTAGAGAGAAGAAGAAGAACAAACTGATCATTTGGATGTCACGTCAGCGTTTTTAGATCACGCTCATTCTGTGTTCATTTGTATGCAATGTGAAGCTACGGGCTAACTAAAGTGTGCTAACATTAGCCTGCTAACACAACAATGCAGGACACAGGCGACTGCGGCTCGAACAGAGGATACGTTTGTCTGCTTCAGTGTAGCAGAGGTGTCTGTTTTTGGTTTCATGCTGGTGCTCGAGGGCGACATCTACTGGATCAAAAAGTCGCACTGTCTTCCTTTAAGTTTAAGTGACTTTTGAGAGAGTTTTTGAAACTTAACCTACATGCAGCAGTAAAAGTAGCAGAACTATAAAGCAGGTGAAATGATCACTTACCCATCACAGTGAGCAGAAATAAACTGCTCTGCATCTTCGGCCTGATTGTTGAAACTGATTATTAAGGCTGCTGTGAACACAAACACAGGTATAGAAAAAAAAAACTGCACCAGTTCCTCCTGAATGCAAAGTTCAGTGCAATGAGGAAGATACATGTATGCAAAACATAGCCAAATCATAGACTTTATACAAACCTCTTCTCAAGTCTCCAAAAGTCGAAACACATTTTCTGCTTTACACACATTTTGTAATTCAAAATGGCACTTTTTAAATGCACTGAACACGGTTCTCTGCATAAGACACAACAATCTGACATAAAGTCACATGTTTGCCATCTCAAAACACTGCCATTCAAAATGACACTACATGAGCAAATTGGCCAATATATGTGCCACCTGGCCAAACACCTGAATGGTTACAGTTTTTTCCAATTGCTAAAACACAATTTTGCCCACTAGGCTGGTTTTATCAAAATACTTCACAAAACCACACACACCCAAACTTCAAAATACCTCATATATCCTGCAAAATGAAGCACTCCAACCAAAACTACATATAGCATTATCAAATCAAACTTTTGCACCAAATGGCACACACTTCATTCATATTACCAGATTTTTGTCTAACCAACTACACACTGTTGGGCATAATGAAAAGCACTCTCATCTTTAGCACGCTTTGCCATAATACTAAAATAGTTCGAATTGTAGAAAATTCTTCAGATTGTTCACATGCACAGAAATATTTGCAGATACACAAACATGCTGTTGAAACATTTATTTTTTATTTTTCACCAAACAAGTCGGTGCTACTTATACCAGTACAGTAAAACGGCTCAAGTTGGGCTCGCATTGTCAGCCCATGATGACATGATCAGCTAAGGTTGCTCTGATTTCATTTTTCATCATTCTGACTACTTTTGCCATGAACTCCTCTACCAGCTCTACCCCTACCTCTCACTCTTCCTCTACCAGCTCTGCCCCTACCTCTCACTCTTCCTCTACCAGCTCTGCCCCTACCTCTCACTCTTCCTCCCCCTCTCAAATGAAATGGCAAACATGTGACTTTATGTCAGATTGTTGTGTTTTATGCAGAGAACCGTGTTCAGTGCATTTAAAAAGTGCTATTTTGAATTGCAAAATGTGTGTAAAGCAGACAATGTGTTTAGACTTTAAGAGACTTTAGAAGAGGTTTTGCTCTCTGTGTGTCATTTTAAATAATTGTGCTATGCATGTCATTTTAGTGTGTTAGCAATTGGAAAAGACTGCAATAAAAGTCCTGGGGATATAGTGTACCTTAAAAAAGATGAAATCTGTCATAGCTCTGGCACAGTGTCATCACAAGCTGAACATCGTAAAGTCACCTTAGCAACGGTGGAATTTGTAGAAAGCAAACTCATTATAGTCATTTGTAAGGTAGAAATAGAATTCAACGTTTCATAAAGAGAAGTATTAATACATTATTTGAATTCTGGTGAATTCAAAAGTAATTCACAAAAATATCTTAAGGAGACTTTACACACTGTAAATAATGTAAATACTGTATACAAATAAAAATTTCAACATCAATCTAAACTTCACAAACTAAAAAGCAAACACAAAATGAACTTGCAGAAAACACAACAAAGTTCAAACTCACTTCGTCTGATGTTTCTCTCTGACGTCTCTCCTCGATGTGCTGATGTGGGCTGCTCTCAATGGAACTAAAACCTCAGTGTCAGGGTTCAAATATTTCACTGCAAAAGTTTCAGCCTTCATCACTGTCAGAGGGATGCATGGACATATACGGAGAAGGCTACATCACTTTTCTAAAGAGGTGATTTGAATAATTCCAGAGAAAACAAATAGATGGACGTCAGACTGCTGGCTGTCCAACAAGCGTCCTCCAGAAAGCCGCTGCTTATGTTGGGAAATGAATGCAAAACATATTTTCTCGTCAAAATTTTGAGCTATTTCTTGAAGATTTGGGGGTTCAGCTTGTGTCCACTAACAGCGTTGTATTGCTCATCCAAACATTTAGTGTTGCTACTAGGTTCTGAAAATGTTCAATTGGCAGCTCCGCTGTGTCGTTAAAGCGGGGTACACACTACGAGATAATCAGGACGATTTAGGGTCTGATTCCCGCCTTCGGACCAAAGTCAGCAAAAACCAGATTATCTGATATGTGTGTGTGTGTGTGTGTGTGTGTGTGTGTGTGTGTGTGTGTGTGTGTGTGTGTGTGTGTGTGTGTGTGTGTGTGCGTGTGTGTGTGTGCGTGTGTGTGTGTTTGTGTGTATGTGTGTGTGTGTGTGTGTGTGTGTTAGTGTATGTGTGTGTGTGTGTGCGTGTGTGTGTGTGTGTGTGTGTGTGTGTGTGTGTGTGTGTGTGTGTGTGTGTGTTAGTGTATGTGTGCGTGTGTGTGTGCGTGTGTGTGTGTGTGTGTGTGTGTGTGTGTGTGTGTGTGTGTGTGTGTTAGTGTATGTGTGTATGTGTGTGTGTGTGTGTGTGTGTGTGTGTGTGTGTGTGTTTTGTGCCACCATATGAATAAAATACGGCGAGACATTTCCTCCGTGTGAAATCTAAAAGGTTTGTTCTGAATCAAAATGAAATGTAATCACAATAACAGAAAGAGAACGTGCTACCTTTTCTGATCTGCCCTCTGAAGTGATGAATGAACCCTGCTGTCAATGTTTTTACAAACTGTTACTCCTAAACTGTTCATTCTTTGACGCGTCCTTTTTTTTCCGTTTAAGAGACACTTTTTGTAATCAGGTCATGCAATGCATCATGGTTGGTGTTTAGGTTCTGTTTGTGCTCCATACCATGTGATCATGGCCTGCAACAAAAATGAAATGGAAATGTTGTTTAGAGACAGAAATGTAGATAAAAACAAAGATGTTCTACTTCAGTCTCCTTTCCTCTACATTATGCAAAATACTTCATCTTTTCATCAATAGAGCTTTTTGACAGCTATACAGGGATCTGAAACTTCCCTTTTTTCATATTTGAATGCTGACGCTGAGTTAGACAGAGAGGCTAGGTGAAGAAGACTAAAAGACCTATATGACATTCATCTGAGCACACACCCACATCCAATCCCCTCTCACCTGTTTCACCTCAGAACAATCTACTCACAGCAAGCCCCTCCCCTGCTCCTCACACCTGGTGTCACTCTTTTTCTCCTTCTTCTCTGTCCTCCAATGACTGTCATACACTCTCTACTGTCACAGACCACAGCACTGAATTCACTATCCCTGTACACGTCACCTGCAGACTGTCTCATCAACATCTGTCACCTGTCAATTACTGTAACCACTCCAATCTCACCCAAGTACGCCTCCAACCTCTCCTTACAACCAACCTTTAATTGCACTTCAGCTAACTTTGGTCTTTTAAATATCAGATCGCTTAATAATAAATCTTTTATCTGCCTTGATTTTATAAATCATAATAATCTTGACTTTTTTATTGTCACTGAGACCTGGTTGACTATGAGAGATTGCAGTCCTCTGATTGAAGCAACCCCCCCTGATTACACTCACCTTCATCGGAAGGGGGAGGGAGGGGGGGGGGTGCTGTTAGTCATAGAAAAGATTTTAAATGCACTCCAATTTTACACACTCATTTTAATGAGTTAATGCTGTGTTCATTTTAATCATCTACAGACCACCCAGACCTAACAATGTTTTTTTTGCAGACTTTTCAGAGTTTTTATCACATTTTATTTCTAAGTATGATAAAATCCTTGTTTTAGGTGATTTTAACATACATGTCTGTTGCCCCTCTCAGTCCCTCGCGGGTGATTTTATAGATATTCTAAAATCTTTTAACCTTACTCAGGCAATACAGGAACCCACTCACTCTAAGGGCCACACACTTGATCTTGTTGTATACAGCGGTCTCAGCCCGAACAACTTTGAGACAAAGGATATCTGTGTGTCAGACCACAAACTGGTTTTATTCAGAATGGTTTTATCTCAGCCACCTTTTATTAGCAAGGCACCTGTCCGCAGCAGGGTTTTTAACTCTACGTCTGCTAGCAAGTTTAAGGAGCTTTTTATTTCTGTCTCTTCAACTGCCTTTTACCAACATTTTAACACAGAGGAGCTGGTCTCCTCTTTTAATCTCACCTGTCAAGCTGTGCTGGACTCTGTTGCTCCCTATAAAAACTAACAGAGCTCCACAGCCATGGCTAAACGAACTGACTCAGGATCTAAAAAGAGACTGCAGAAGGAAAGAACGAAAATGGAAAAAAAACAGGCTTGCATGTATTTTATGAAATATGGAGAGATACAATGAAACAATACCAAAAGGCAGTTAAAGACGCAAGAGCAGCATTTCATTCTAATCTGATTTTAGCCAATCATTCTAATCCCAGAATTTTATTTAAGGTTTTAGAATCAATCACCACCCCTCCCCTTCTTATTTTATTGATCCTTCTCAGGATCTATGTGAGAAGTTTTTAACTTAGTTTACCAATAAAGTCAAGGACATTAGGCAACAAATCATCCCCCCAGACCGTATTTTAGACACCAGCAGGGAACTTAACAGTTATTTTAGCAGTTTTGAGCCGGTGTCCTTGACCTTTTCATCTGAAATTTTAACCCACATGTAATCAGCTACGTGCAGCCTTGATTTTATTCCCACAACGTTTCTCAAAGAGGTTTTTACCACAGTTGGACCCAGTATTTTATCCATTATTAATAGTTCCTTGGCGGAAGGTGTAGTCCCCTCTGCTTTTAAACATGCTGTGGTCCAACCACTTTTAAAGAAACCCAACCTTGATCCCACTGATTTTAACAATTTTAGACCAATCTCAAAACTTCCATTTTCATCAAAAGTTTTAGAAAAGGTGGTTTCAACACAACTTTTATCTTTTATGACTGAAAATAACCTCTTTGAGAAATTCCAATCCGGTTTTAGAGCTTGTCACAGCACAGAGACTGCCCTCCTCAAGGTAACCAATGACCTTCTTTTAGCATTGTTGTGTTAGCATGCTAATGCTAGCGATCTTTATTATGCTCGTATCTTCACCCTGCATGTAAATTTACCTGAAATGATCGTGATCTAGAAACGCCGTTAAGCAGTGAGTACAGTATGTTATTCTTTTTTCTCTAGTCCCTCAATTAAACAACTTTTATACACGAGGGAGGAGTCAGCCGGCCGTCCGGGCGATGTAAACAAACTGAAGCTAGGACTCTGAAAACTCTGAAAGCATCACAGACAGTGGGACTCGGGTGTTACACCCATTGTAGACAGTCATGACTCTCAGAGTTATTTTCAGAGGATATACTTGATTTCTATTATATTTAAGTGTGAAAAATCGCATATAAAGCCTTTAAAGACTTTTTATAGCCGATACCTGACAGTCACTTAATGCATTTTCTGACTCACAACAAAAAATGTTGGCTTGGAGAGGAAGAAATAAACCCAAATACAACCATTGTTGGAACCCAGGTTAAGAGTTGTTCAGGAATTGTGGAAGAAGATGGGGACTTGAGTTCAGAGGGCTTATAACGCATGTCCTGAATGCTTGCAGTTTGCAGAAGAGACTAGTAGGGTTTATTGCTATGGAGGACGAGATCTGACAGAAGTATAAATAAATAAATTAATGTATAAATGAATACTGGAATAAATAAATAAAAGACTGAATAAATAATTAAATGCGTGAATAAAAAAATTAAAACTGGTAAATAAATGGGACATAAATAATTAAATGTTAAATTAAATAATGTAGAAATAAATAAATGTGGAAATAAATAAATGTAGAAATAAATTAAATGTAGAAATAAATTAATGTGGAAATAAATAATGTAGAAATAAATAATGTGGAAATAAATAAATGTGGAAATAATACATGTAGAAATAAATAAATGTGGAAATAAATACATGTAGAAATAAATAAATGTGGAAATAAATAAATGTAGAAATAAATAAATGTGGAAATAAATAAATGTAGAAATAAATTTAAGACATTTAATTATTTAGGTCCCATTTATTTACCAGTTTTTATTTATCTATTCACGCATTTATTTATTGATTCTTTTATTTATTTATTCCAGTATTTATTTATACATTTATTTATTTATACTTCTGTCAGATCTCGTCCTCCATATTTTTCCAGGAACTGTTTTGTGGATGCTTTTTTTTGCAATGCAGTGATGGCATGCCAGTGACCTCATACTCTGCGTCATCAAACTTTTGCTGTGGGCAGAATATGGTGTTCAGGAAATGCATCGCTTCAGTTCTAGCTGCAGAGGGCGGTCTTGCATTTCTGCACAAAGAAGGAAAGCACCTGCATGGATGTCCCCAGCTCAGACCTGTGGGGTGGTGCAGCTGGGACAGGTTATCTTAGGCCTGGCACACGCAAAAAAACAAAAAAAAACCTGAAGTGATTTTGAAAATGGGAGAGCGCCCACACATGATGACAAATCATGACAGATTTAAACAGTTCTGTTGTTATAGCGTGTTGAGAGTAACAAGATGACCAACTCAGCACACCACACACTAACCGATTCATTCACCAACAAACATGATGGGCAAGCTAAATGTGGCTATCTGTTAGCTGGTACATCCATTACAGTAAACACTTTGGTCCAACTCCTTTCTTTGTCCAGTCCCCTCCTCCGGATCTACGGCGAATTTTAAAGTAACTTTCGATCTTCTTCTTCTGCTCTCCGTCCACGCTTGCACACTCGAAGAAGACGAGGAATTCGTAGAGACCCTCCATTTCGTAAACACTTGACTTT